TGTGTGCACAGGCTGTCCCGTGTGTGTGCACAGGCTGTCCCGTGTGTGTGCACAGGCTGTCCCGTGTGTGTGCACAGGCTGTCCCGTGTGTGTGCACAGGCTGTCCCGTGTGTGTGCACAGGCTGTCCCGTGTGTGTGCACAGGCTGTCCCGTGTGTGTGCACAGGCTGTCCCGTGTGTGTGCACAGGCTGTCCCGTGTGTGTGCACAGGCTGTCCCGTGTGTGTGCACAGGCTGTCCCGTGTGTGTGCAGACTGTCCCATGTGTGTGCACAGCTGCCCCCGTGTGTACATAGGCTGTCCCGTGTGTGTGCATAGACTGTCCCGTGTGTGTGCACAGCTGCCCCCGTGTGTACATAGGCTGTCCCATGTGTGTGCACAGCTGCCCCCGTGTGTACATAGGCTGTCCCGTGTGTGTGCACAGGCTGTTCTGTATTTGCAGACTGCCCCATGTGTGCACAGGCTGTCCCGTGTGTGCACAGGTGACGCCTGGCACATCACCAAGTCTCTTCCTTGCCTTTGGGACTGCTGCTCTAAGCGCTCACTTGGGCTGTTTCCTCTTATAGCTCCCGTCCTCCTCCCGTGCCCTCAATCTGTTCCTTCTGTAGCACTCAGCTCCTATTTCAAGAGGACTCTGTCCCATTTCCCAACTGCCAACATCTCCAGTCTTCAATTGTTGTGCTATGAAGGCATCTTCTGGCTGTGTGTCTTCAGACCTCCCTTTTTCTCTGGGATTCACAAACTGAGGCCAGCACATGTATAATCCCTGTGCACACGTCGCACTAAGTCTAGGCCATACAAGTATCCTATTCTTTGTTTTTGTTGCTTTGGGTTTTTGAGACAGGGTTTCTGTGTGTAGCCCTGGCTGGCTTCGAACTCAGAGATCCACCTGCTTCTGCCTCCCAAGTGCCACTGCCACCCCATCTACTCTTGACAACTCTAAGAGAACTCTACAGGCCTCTCAGGTCTTCTTTGGCTCCCCATTCCCCATCCTACCACCTAAGCCTTTCTCCACATTATTTCCTATCTATCTTTCCCCAATGGCAACTTTACTGTTTAACCTTTCTACATCATTCTCCACCTGGATTTACCACTTTCTCCTACGGAGCCCAACTACTTCTATCTTTTTAGAAATGCCCCACTCTTGCATAATGGTATCTAATCTTCTAACAACTTCTCTCTACAGGCTAAGCATCTATCCGTTTCTCATTTCTGAAACAGAGTAATTATTATTCACCCAACCCCAAGACACTTATCAGTTAAGTATTTACTAGTGACTTTTATGTGCAAAATCCATTCGCCCATGCAGTAACTGTTGCTGAACATCTAACCTATTACAGAGTGTGCTGATGACGCGGACGAAGACACCCAAGCCCTGTCCTCATGGAACATATGAGACCGGTGGGGTAGAGAGGGGAAGAACCTAATACATAGTGGCCCCAGCCCAAAGACTTCCAGTCTTCTAATAAAACATTAAATGAGGGCTGGGGATGTAGGTCTGCTGGCAGGGCCCTTGCTTGCCTTGTATGTGAGAAGGCTGCGGTCCCATCCCCAGCACAGCGCTAACCAGGCATGGTGGTTCACACCTGTAATTCCACAACTCAGGAGGTGGACAAAGACAGACCAGAAGCTGGAGGTCATCCTACACTACATAGCCAGTTTGAGGCTATCCCTAGGATACACAAAACCAAGTCTCCAGTTTAAAAAGGGAAAGAAACTAAATGAGGTCTGGAGACATAGTTAGTTAGGTGGCTGCATCCAGGTGGTAAGCCCAGAGGACTAAGCTGAGCATAGGAACAATGACAAGAAGAGAGACAGAAAGTCACATGGGTCAACCCTAAGGGCTGAGGGATGAGATCTGGGGTCCAGGATTCAGGTGGGCAAGGAGTTGAGTAAGAACAGGCCCCTGGGGGGGCAGAATGTCAAGATACAGGATGGGCACGTATCAGACTGGGGGACGGGGGTGCCTTCAAGTAGAGGTGGGAGGCTATGAGGAAGGCCCCAAAGGAATGAGAGCAATGGCGAGACCGTGGACTCATTTTTATATAAGGAGCCTCTTAAAACCCTGCTGTCAGCAGCCAGCTCTGCATGGACAGGAAGATGACTCAGCCTCTACTTCCACCATCAAAGGACTTGCACTGAGCCAGGCCGGTAGGTCAAGTGTGTGGTGATCTATCACAGCACAGAAATGCAATCTTTCTGGAAGAGACACAAGAGAAAGAGAAAGAAAAGAAAAAAAAAAAAGAAAAGAAAACGCTTGGGGAGTCCAGAGAGGAGAGGTGCCGGTCTGGGTTATGTAACAGTACTTACAGAATCATGTATTTTAGTCTCCTACATCCAACAGTACATCTATGGAAAACAACCGTTCCCAAATGCTTCTTCACTCTCAGGGTTATTTTAAGAAACTGCAAGCAGAGCGGGGAAGATTACATTTTTTGGTTTTTGTTTTCCAGATGAGCAATGGAGGCACAGAACTTTTAAGCAACCTGCTTTCTGTTGGAGGGGGTACATAAAACAGGCACAAGTAAAAAAAACGAGAACACCCTGTCCCTGTTGGGAGTATCTAGAGCACGTTAAGAGTTTCTGTCATTGCGTATGACACCTGACTGTCACAGCTCACAAGGAGCCCCTCTTCAGAGACCGAGACCCAAGGACCTTCCCAAGAGCAGTGTTGGCATCACCTCCACCCCTGCCCTGGGTCTCTCCAAAACAGCATCCTCCTGACTTCCTGACTGCTTACATCAAGTTTTCCTCGCAGGGATGTCACCCTCGGTTATCTCCCCGGAAGGGTGTGCAAAGCTGTTTCTGAGAGGATCCAGAAGCTTGCAGCAAGCACACTGCACGGGGTGGAAGGGGTGCAATGCATCCCCAGGACCTCCACGACTGGTTCGGGAAGGGCACCCTGGCCTCTTGCATCCCTCTCCCTCGTAACTGCAACAGTGGGGGAGCTGGCAGCAGCGGGCACCGCTCCCCAGC